TGGTGGAGTCTTAATTCATTTGTTTTTAACATCCTGTGTATAACATTGTATAACTTTCTTCTCTGGCAACAGGAGGAAAATATTTTGAAATTCTTTCATTGAAATGCATACATTTCATGTCACATTTTAATTGTCTGCTGTTGATTAGAGGTTATTGGAAAATGCACTAGTTGAGCTCAGGTAGATACAATACCATTTTAGTGGTGTGCTTGGAAGTACTGCTTCCCCCTCTAAAATTTCCAAGGCCTGAGACTGTTTGGTACAGTTTGCAAACAGCATTCCTTATTGCCAGGATACAGAAGTGCTTGAAGTTTGGGTAGCTGGAGTGAACCCTTTTGGTCATTGTTTCACTTCTTCAGATTCCTTTTTTAGTTAGCCATACAGAATTATGGGGTAGGAGAAATATATATGTAAAACTAATTTATTTTCCCTGAAGGATCTGTCTACACTTGATGGTTTATTGTGCAGTACACCATAGTGCCAATGGTGAGTCTTAGGCAGCAAATTCTTTCATTACTCTGTAATACTTTGTCATGCTGTGAGGAGGAGGAATACCATACATGGAGAAAGACAGGTTTCTTGAAAGTTTGTTTGAGTCTTTTACTTACATGGTCTTCAGGGGAGCAGATCTGATTTTTGGCATAGCTTCACACTTTCTAATGCAGAAATCCTTTGGCAAACACAAATGTGTTTACCCCTAAAATATTTAAGCWACAGGAAGGATTGARGAATGTAGTGGGCACTGTGCTCACTTACCGCTGTTCCCTGGCTCTCGATGATCTCGTTGCYGTTTGCTCTTTTAACACTACAAATGGTCTTTGCAGAGCATTTACTTTAAGATTCCTTTACTAGAGAGAACATTTTTATTTTAAGCATATATTGAAGTTTCAAGTGAAAAATTTTGCAACTGCAGTAACTTACTATAATTTCACTGTCACTATTTTTACAATTGGTCAGCTGCAGATATGAACAGACAGTCTGTCCTCTAGAGAACTGAAAGCAGATATCTCCAGTTGTAGGCAGCATCGTAAGTTCATTCCTGTATCTCTCTCCKGCACGCAGTCACCAGGGCATGTTTATGCTTCTTATTATTGATCCTTATCCTTGCCATTTTTATAGAATGTTCTTATTCTTGGTTCCATTGTTTTTCTTTCAAAATGAGGAGAGTTCAAAGAAACCAAGTAAATGACAGGCAGAAATTGCAGCCACTGGAACATCTGTCTCTTTAGACACTTGTCCATGTTAAGAGTTGGTTTTAGATATTTGTATCACCCTTGCTGTGTGTTGGAGGTGAGTTGCTCTGAGTCTACATTCAGGATGACAGCTGAGGTTGGAATTATCTTACTCTCAAGATGACATAGGCTTTGCTGCTGCAAAGAAGTTTCAGGTAAGAGCAACCAGAAGCCTTTGAGCTGGTGGCAGGATTCGCGGTGGTGCAAGATATCTAATGTGTGAGAGCAATGTTGGAATGGAACAGYAAAGCTTGATTAGATCATTTGAGATAGCAGAATGACTGGTATTTCATCTTCATCGCTACTGTGCTTGATGCTACATAAAAATTCTTATGCTGAGAGGTAGCTACCAGTATGAAGCAAAAGCATAACAAAGATTCAAAGCAACAGTATATCCATTTTTCCCGTGTCTGTATGTAAAAGAGCAGTGCAGGGGAGAGGAAAGCAAAAACATGTTTACACTTCAGTAACTGCTTTTAGCTCTGGGACCAGCTCACCCCTGTTTTGTACTTGATGGTGGTGTTCACAGTGCATACGCTAAATTCCGAAGCTAAGAGAAAACACAGACATCCTGTTGTGTTAGTGCTTTGCCTAGGCGTGCAGACACAGCAGTTGTGAGGCAGGGGAGTTCAAAGATGAATCTGTGAGTGACTTTGCAGGGGAATGCGGCGCCAGTCTCATACTTGGGAAGAAGAATGACACTGCCACCAGTTAGTATGCTGAAGCACCAAATGAAAAGAATTAAAACTGAAGCACTCCTGCTTGYTTTGCTTTTGTGCTTTTTTTACTGTCCTCAGCATACCTTTCTCTAAGATTCCTGTTTGGTGGGAGTAAATTGCAAATTGCAGATTTAGGCACTGCATTTCTGTTTGGAGTGGATTGGCTTCATACTCTGCTGCGGGCCGCTTTTCTTTCCCCTCCCACAGACCTGTGCCTTGTGAGAGCTCATTTTCCCTCTGCACATGAACCTCCTAACCTAGAATGTCACCTGTTCTGGGTTTCTTTCTGAAAACAGACCCCGTGTGCCAGTCAGAAATCGCTCTGAGCGTGTCGTATCACCAGTGAGTTCAGTGTGACTTTATCAATTCAGTGTGACAGGTAAACAGGAAAGGGTTTGAATTTTGGTTTTGGATATAGAAGAGAATTAGTGACTCTGTCTTGCAAGTATGCATTATTGCTTTTGTTATCTGTGCTGACTCTCTGCTAAACCTGGTAGAAATTACTGAGTTACTGATCTTCATCTCCCATTGCCTGTCATTTTGGATGATGTGGCATTTTTAATTTGAGAAAGAATTACCAAATCCAAAAGATTTTTAAAAATGGTATTGTAGGTTGTTCTTAATGTGGCTTCTCCCTCACCCTTTTTGTCAAGTACCATTTGCTTAGAAACAAATCTTTTTTTAAAATGAGGGTTATCTGTTAGGATTTCATGATTATTTATTTAAATTTTTACTCAATTATTGATATTTATTTACTTGAATTACTTATAATGCTATTTAATATACAGTGTTTATAGGATTTTTAATATATAGGGTTTATAGGGTTATATAATCCCTATTTAATGTTCATGCATAGCTACAGGTAGAGGAAGCTTTTTTTTCTTGAGATGAGGTACTTGGAGAAGTTGAGAATCTGCATCTTCACACTGACAATGCCCTTGCCCCTGGCTCCCCTTACTAAACTTGGTGTCGAGTGGTTGGAGTGAATGATCCCTACTCTTCAGTGGCAGAGGAAGATGAGAGTTAGCATACCAAATCAGATCTTTAGAGCTTATGGTGTATTTATCTTTGATCTTTGAACCTAGTAACTCCTGACAACTCGSAGGGAGATGAAACAACTATATGATTCATTTAGTCAGTCATGAAAAATATTCACTGTGGCTTGTGTGGGATGATGCCACTCTGACTGGTCAATTTGTGCCTCTAGGGCAGAGTTTTTATTACACTTTCTTTATCATCCACCATCATAAATATTTATACTGGTCATAATAGTGACTAGTCCCTGCTAAGTCTGCAAACATAATTCCTTGCATGTGAATGTTTTGAACAGTGAATCTTGGAAGTACAACGTGGAATTGGTGGTGTAATAATCTCTTGTAGTCCTTTGCTTCTTGATGTTCTGATTGCTCATTGCTAGGTCCCCTCCTTCCTCAGTACGATTAAGATAAATCTGAAATGAATACGTATTTGAAATTATGAAGTAGTCAAGCTTTGGAAGCATCACATTYCTTAGCATAACCTCTGGCTACATGTTAGTCCATCCTTTCAGAGGCTGCAGTCTGAAACTATAACATAAGAGCCCATAAAACACATGGCTCAAGCTGATTCTGGTCTTTGTCAACTGTAGTCTGAGGCTGAGCTTCATGAGAGAAAAAGGAGATTAATGTTAGATGATGAGCTTTTCACTCAAACAAAACCATGTTCTTTAGACTTGTCCTTGGATTTATAGTTGCCGTCTTTATTTGTTTACAAATATTTATAGATCTCTCTTCTGCAAACCAGTTTAATGTGAGACTTCTCTGTTTCACTGTGAAGCTCAGTATGCAGCTTCTCACACCCTTCAGTTGGCTTGCTTGGAATGTAGAAGAGAAGAGAAGCAACACAGGTTGATTTTGCATTGTGCCACGGTGTTAAATCTGAAGGGAAAAGATGAAAAGCATCATAAATAAAATGTGAAATGCTGTGAGCAAAAAGAAAAAGCACAATATCGCTTCCAGATGTCATTTTGAGGGAAGCAAAACACATGTTATGGAAGACGGAGACACAAATAGGTAATGGCTTTCCTTTACTTTAGTAATAGTTTTTAGAGTATGGAAAACTGAAAACAGTGGCCTTATAGAGCGGTAGTTCTTAACTGGGCAATAGTGAGTGGACTTAGTAAAACTTACTCAATCTTCGTCATTATGTCATTTGTCTGCTATGGACACCRATGCAGAAGAAGGTGTGCAACAAGGACAGCTAACAGACCTCCTGCAAACTTGTTAGCATGTGACAAGTTAAAACCTGTAATAATATGTTACAACATGTAACAAGGTTCCTTTTTTTGGTAATGCAGAGTTCTTCTGTGTTTGTTGTACCCTTGTAGTAGCCTTCATCAGGGATTTCAGAGATTATCCCCAACTTCTCCCACGGGGAATGTTGCAACTCATGCTGATCCTAAAAAGAGATGGTTGGAGAAAATTACAAAATGTTTTACAAAGCATYCCTTGTTTTTACTCTTTTACACCATAGCAGTGAAATATGATTGTCTTCCTAGTACTGTCTTGATCATACTACATACACTGTTGCTYTTTTGTTCTCTCAAACATTGTTGCATGATATTTATGCATACATGCACARATCTGCTGCAAAATTTTCTCTGGAGAACTACCGGAGACAAAAAGCATTACAGCAGTATCATTTCTTTTATTATGCATTTCTTTAGCCAGCATCAGRAAAGAAGGATTCAGTGTTTTCTTTCTAGTCTGTTTTCTGTGATATAGAAAATAAACTTCAATTTTTCTTTTTACCTTTGTTTTGCTAATTTCATTATTGCCTCCACTCTTGCAATGGGCATATCTTTTTCTTCATCTGTAGACTATTTAAGAAAATCTGCTATACTGAATAGAAGCTTTGACTTGCACTTTTTTTTTTCTTTTATTTTGTAGCTTGTAATATTATTGACAGTTTGCATACCAGTAGGCGTATCTTTCTGCTGCAGATGATCTAGCAAGGTTGCTCTACCTTTTTTTCATTACATGTTTCATTTTTATTTCTTTTGCTTCTGTAGATGACCAAGTCCCCAAGGAAAGGATCTATCCAGACATGCCCAGTGCCACAACCAGATCTGTCCGATGGAATGCCTCAGTTCAGCCTACGATTAGGAGGCAGTAGCTCATGTTTGGAGGAGATGGAGATAACAGATGAAATCTCCTTCATTAACAGTGCTGCGTTTTTCTCCAGGTTAGTGCTTCATTTTTGTATTTGCTTCCTAGTTTACTGTTTTTACTTCCTCCGTGGGTTGCAGTGCTCAGCACTTTGGATACTTTTCTTCCATCAGTGCTTATAAAGACAGCATGCTGTTGTGCAATGCAAAATAACAGGTGCCACCCTGTTGAAGCCATATGTTCCAGCATATGCCCAGCAAAACCAGACGTGTGCTTTAGTTTGCCTCTCAAGTGTCTTGCATGTGAAAACGACCTAATGTCAGCTACTAGAAATGACACTGCATGCATGAAAGATGTGACCAAAATGTAGGTGTCTTCCTTGAACGCTTAGGCATATTTGATTTGCCTAGTTGAAGTCCTAACAGTGAACTTCATTCTCATTCTCAAAACAAAAACAGAAGCAGCCTTGCAGGAATTTTTCTCTYTCTGGCAGTATAGATGAGACTACTACTCTTGTTCAGACGAGTCAGAAAAAGAAAGGAGTATATGAATATCTGTAGTTTCAATTGATAGTACTTTGTCAATGAGGTGAAAAGATCTTACATGAGTGATGTGCAGTTTGGTTGCTTGAATTCCATTGTTTTTATGGCAGTGAAGTGAATTCTCTTAGTCGTTTCTTGTTGCTCATGCAGAACATGAAAGATTAAGATTACTACAGGAAATTAGTGTATGTTACTGAAAGATGGAGTTGGCCTCATGTGGAGAAATAGTGTTATTTACATGTCATGAAGCACCACATGGCAATGTCTGTGCATAACAGTGCAGAACACAAAGCAGAGCCAATACTGCCAGACATGTGACTGAGTGACTTCACTGTGTAAGTGGGAGATGGGGTGCTATTCTCAGCACCAACACAGACAGACACTACTCAGYTTACAAGACATGTTAGCAGATTTTGAGTCATAATAATGACGGTGAAATATAGCTGTTAAATTTGGTTTCCAGCCCTTGCAGTCACACATCAACTTCTAGCTGTGTCAGTTGTGCAGTTCAYCATTCCCCATCCTGCCCCGAAAGCTCCTGCAGTCAGAGGCATCAGGTTAGTTTAGACATGTTTTTATTAATTCAGCTCCTTTTAAATGAGCTGAGTTAGGAAGCAATTACAAAACAGGTCAGCTGGCAGGAGTGAGGAGGCAGTACATTTCCACTGGCTAGACAGGGCCAAGCAGGTGTGACTGGCCTGGAAATTCTGACCTCTTGCACTGGTATGCTGAAGCTGGCAGGGACAGTGTCCCTGTGCTCTGCTGTGTGCTGCAAGGTGTAAAGGAAAACCAAGTGCTYGAGAACTGAAACAAAGGACTGCTGACTTGCAGGTCTGGCATGGCATGTGTGACAAACGTACCTAATGAGGTGTTCCAAATATACGACTCTTTCGAGAGAGTTTCACTTGTTGATCTTTCAAAGACATAGGAAACAGTCACTGTTATTTTAGGAGAACATTCCCCAAAGAAGTTATTATTTCTTGTAGATGTTCATGGTTTTCTGTCAGCGTGTAGTTTCTCAGAAGAGTCCTATTAAAGTATGGGCAGTTGGACTGCTACTGGCTACAGACCATTAAGCACCAAGTCAGGCATCTTTGTAGGAGCCCATATGAACCCAGCACAGGCCCGCGTGTGAAACGATCAGAAACCCTGATTCTTAGTTAGGCGTTAGTTAGCCCTGTGGTGTATTTGGAGTGTTCATCAGCATCCTTTTGGCAGTCATGTATCACTACTGTGGAAGCTCATGTCGAGGTATGATCTGCCATTTTCAGTGTGAGGCCACTTGAGTTTTCACCTTTTTGAGCAGAAGGACTCTGGAATCTGATGTAGAATATAATGTGTTTGCAAATACACTGCTACTATTGTTGGGATTTTTTTTCTGACACAAGGTACTAGAAGTTCTTAAATGTTATCGCTGTATAATTATATGTAATTATCAGATATGTTTTAGTGAAACGACTGTATCTGCTCAGCTATCATATGATCTTATTAGAAAAGAATAAAGGTTTTTCTTGGCAATGCTAGTCCTTTGCTGTTTCATGACAATGTTTGTGGTTTACTCCCTTTCCATGCTAAGATACCATGATATGGGTGGATTAGCAAAGCTCTTTAGAGCTACACATTCGATCTGGTTACTGATATATGCAGAACTCCACATCAGCAGGCTCACAAGTGTCACTGTGAAGAAGTAAGCATGTGAACTATGCCTCCAGAAGCTCCCCCGATCCCTAGACTGTAATCTTTATGACAAATCAGTCATTGTCAATTGTTTTCCTTTGACAACAGAAAAAAAAAAAAAAAAAAAATTTTCAGAGAGAAAATAGGAGATTTCTGGTTGTCCAGTAAATTTTCGTATTATTTAAAATAACTCTGAGTAAGTGTCTTCATTAACGGTAAAGGTTAGGTAATAGGAAGATCTACATATTAAGTGCCAGGTAAAATCAGGACTCTGCTGTACAGAAAGGCTTACTATTTTTTTAATATTGAAAGATGCATATTGTGCCTCCTTAATAGTTACAGTAATCCTCCTTGCAGATATCTTTTGAAGGTGCTGCTCTTAACGTATGTGAAATAACAGTTGTATTTGAAACATATTGCAGAGCATAAAATCTACATTGCCTCTTGTCTGTTCCTTACTCCTTCTGTTGATTTTAAGAAAGTGATAAAGTTCATATGTTTTTTCTGACCAATATAGGTGGAGTAATTGTATATACCCGTAATCTCTGCCAGTACATAATGTGTGTGTTCTCTCGAGAATTACCTCATTATTAGAGCTGTGTGCCAAGGGCAAACTGCTTAGTGTGCAGTAGCAGAAAAACATACCTGTATTTCATTCCTCTGGAAGATGGATGAAAGCTTGTATTCAGTAAGCAAACTACTTGGATTTGGAGTTTGCCTAGAGGTGCTCAAACTTAAGTGCTTAGAATCAGAGGCTCCTATAATMTATAGCTTTTTTTATATAAAAAGGATATACTGAGCTTCTGGCTTCTGAATGGCTACAAAAGCAGGAAGGCATCTGTTAAGCAATGCTCTTAGGCTTCATATAATCTGACTATAACAAGTAAGAAAATGGGAAGCCTTCAAGTGGGCAGGAAAATGCTTCTTGTAGCCAGCATGTGCGGAAGGAAAGTGTCATAGCCGGGAGAACCTCCTTCCCTGGTGCTGCGCACACTGCTCTGAGGTGCCAGCTGCTTGCAGACTTCTCTTGTCACCATCCTGTCTCTTTTGCCCTAGGAAAGAGCATTGAAATAGGCTTTGCAGTTTATCTCGCTCCTCATGCTTACTGAAGCTTCATCTCTGCAGTCCTGGTACTGTTCTCAAGAAAGATGTTCCTGTGGGAGGACATGCTGTTGTTGGCTCTGTTTTTAGGCTCTGTGCATGTTCCCTTGGTAAAACTATTGATGTAACGATTGTTAGCAGACACCTTCTTTGTTAAGAATGATCAGGTGCTGGGGAATGAGCAGCTAGTGCTCAGCTGCCAAACTTTTTGAAAGACACTCTGCAGTTTCTGAGAGCTGAAGCGTTAGAGCAACCAGGGCAAGTGTTTCCTGGGTTTGCAGACCTCTCCAGTGCTTTCTGTCCATCTCGTTTTGTGCCAAGGATCATAAATTCCTGTTGTGGCCACAGTTGCAACTGCAATGAAATTAGCCAGTGCAGCTACCCCGTGGCGGCTCCTCGCGTGTGCCTGTTTTCAAAGGGAAGGTTTGTTTATGTCAACCTTTTGTTCACAAAGATCCTTATATCTGACCTACCTCCTTCCAGTGGAGGGGTCACATGCTGCAATGGCCTCCCTAAATGAAGGGGTTGGTTTGTATACCCTGCTGCACCCTGTTCTTAAGGACAGTGTTTGCATATTCTAGCTGTTGATTGCTAAGCTATGAAAACATGTRTATTTGTACACTGAGAAGCCCGTGCTTACTATAAACACTTTCTCTATTTGTTGGCATTCCTTTTACCAGCTGCAGTTTAAAACCAAAACAAGCCCAAACTTACCATTACTCTCTGGCACCTGATAAGAACTTGGGTTCTGTTGTTGCCAGAACAACTCGAGCTAGGGGTGGGAGGGAAGAGGTTTGCTTAGCTGACAATTTTTATTTAGGTTTGTTTTGAAGTCTTTCATGGCAGTACATTCAGTCCCTCTCCGAAGTAATAGTTCGCCTTATCACTTAGRAGCCTTGCCCTTCACAGAAGGGATTATAGGCAAACAGGAGTCCCTGCCCTCTGACAGCCCTGGATTCTCTGAGCAAACTGCTCAGCAAACAGACAAAGGTCTTGGGCGAAGTGGATCAGAAAGCAGTGAAGAAAGTTCCCTATGCGTTATTCAGCAGCAAGCTCTGGTGGGCACTGCTCGCTGTGCTCACAGAAAGAAGTCTTCTTTATGTAACGTATTTTAGCTGTTTTTCTCATTCTTTCTCTCTCTAGGTTGTGTTGAGTTAGTTTTTCCAACCTGACTCATTTAACTTTGGGAGTACATTTGTCTCCACCCTCCTGCGCAATCAATTCCCTTTTCTTGCATTGTGAGATGCTGGCACTAGRCAGTCTATTACATAATGAGTTGTTAAGAAAAGCCTTCAGTTTTCTGAAAACTCATGAGCCGCAGAGACGTGTGATTTATGTCTCTCTCCAAGGTAGGTGATTTTAAATGGTGAGTCAAGGTGTGGTCTTAGCTCTTGCTCAGTACTTCTTGGCTGTCCGTAATCAAAATATAATGACAGTCACAATAGCATATAATTATGTAGATTTTTTTGTTCCGTGCAAGTCACCCAGGTGGATTTCAGTTTGCTTTTTCAGACATTTTTCCTCTCTTATCTGTCCCATGCAGGTAGTGGCTTTATGTTAGGCTTTGTCCATTTCCTATTTGCCACTTACTTCTAGTTATCCTATAATTTTTGCTTCTCATACAAAATTTTTCTGGTGATAAGTTGCTGCATAATACCAGAACATCTACAGAGAAGCCAAAATTCTTTCCYCTTTTTCTGGTTTCCTGGGACAGTATTCAACAGCCTTAGAAAGCAGAAAGAGACTGCAGTAAAGTCTTATCAAATGAGTAACAAGCCTGAGTCCCAGTGGGGAAAAAAAAATAGTATCTTTCTCTCTCAGGCATTGCCCTTTCAACTAGAAAGATTACTTGTTTTGTCATCTTGTTTGTTTTGCCTTATCAGCTTTTTTGCGAGGAGAAAGTCCCTTCGTTTCATGAGGCTGTTGCACCTGGTGCCACATGAGTCAGTTAATATTTTGCTGCAGGAAAGAAGGGACAAACATCTGGCAATTTTTAGGACCTTTTCAAACAAAACAATTGATGACCCTTTATGGGAGAACACACTGTGGACAATAAGAATTGCCAGCTGTGTTTCACAGGGAAGAGTTCATACTGGCAGTTCGCTGCACAGTGGCTTTACTTATTTTTTCTTGCAGTGAATGAGCAGTTCTCTTTCCCACAGCTTCTTAGCGTGCCTCCTGTTGCATTGCTTAGCTAAGGAGGATCAGCGTAGCTGATCTTGTTTCCGGTAGCTTTACAGAGCAAGCAGTTCTCTGTCACCTGAAGCTCTGAGGCATTCCTTTCCTGTACTACTTCCCAAAAGGGACCTCGGCTGACTTCCTTTAGGCAACCCACAGGAAAATCAGCATACAGAGGTCACTGAGTTCTCAGCCAGACTT